AATTAAGGCCTTAATTTAAACAATAATACTTTTATGACTTTTAAAACACATTTGTTTAGGATTGCCTTCGACTGTTCTAGTTAAACAGTTCAACTAAAACATATTTTCTTTAGTCCAAACTTTTTTGTTTCTGCATTTTTTTTATTTTATTTTTTCCTACTTGCTTTGATTCTGTTTTAGCGTCCTGTATTTTAATCATGTAAAGCACTTTGCATTGTCTTTGTACTGAATTGTGCTATACAAATAAATTTGCCTTGCCTTGCCTAATGATTTTTAATGACCCGTGGAAACCCTGTTCAATCAAGACGTATCTTCACTACTGCTGAGGAAGTTTAGAGTCATGCGTAGCTACAGATTTTCAGATTAAACCCATTTTTAATTACTTCATGGCTTCTCTTTCTTTGATCCACTCCTCAACGACAGCTTGGGTTGCTGGATCCCGGTGCACCTGTTAAAAGAAAACCCATGGATATAAGGGACAAAGATGTCAAGAATGAGGGATATAAGAAGATTAAATCAAATGTCTGCAATGGTCTTCTGACCTGCATCTGTTCGATCAGCACTGTCAGAGCCTGTAACCAGGTCATCATGTGGACGTACTGTGGAGTGTTCATGATCTTTATCTCCTTTCTTAGCTCAGGGATGATGGCCCCTGTTCTCCAGCCGTGTTTCAGAGTTAAATCCTGAAGGTCAGGAGAGAAGATAATCAGGGTTCAGTCCAAAGGATATTTGTTGCATCGTATTACAGTTAAGAGGTTTTTCTACACATTTATCATGTATGTTTCATGGCCATTTGAAGAAAATTGATAATAAACCAGTAAATGAGAATACAAGAAATATCCATCATTAGAATATATTAGACACTTTAATGGCCCTGATGGATGGGTGACTGGCGGGCAAGAGAAAAAAATGCTTTTTTTAAGATAGTAAATGTATCATGTGAAGAGCTAAAATGTTACTCTGATTAAAAAATAAAGAAAAATCTCCTAGGTAATAATTTATAATAAAGTCAGAGGGGACACAAAGACAAGCATGGCTATTTAAAAGGACACATCATGTGCTACCACATGTTGGAGCAGGTTGTCTTTTATTTAGGGAAGAAAGCGCGAGATATTCAGCAGACAACAGGAAGGTTAAACATAGTACCGCACCAAGGTTTTATTTGATGCTTTTGAACTATTGGCTTCTGACTTCTATGAAAAATATTGGATTTAGAAATGTTGGAAGCCTTTAGGATCCGCATTCTACAGCGTTACGCTGCTGTTTTATTAATGTAATGTAATGAGAGGCATAATTATGAAGCTAGTTAATAATATAAGATCCTTGAGAGAGTTTAAATCGGGATCCTAGGTTGTAAAGCTAACCATGTTACAACCACACTGGAAAAATGATCTAGAAATAAGTAAATATTTTTTAAATTGAGTGCATTTACACTTAATTTGAGCAGGTTAATGAGATGATCTGCCAATGCAATGAGTATTTTTACTCTTAAAATAAGATATTTAGATAAAATGCACTTGAAATAAGAAAATGCAATTGTGTTTCCTTATTTAAATGTAAATTGTCTTGTTCCATTGGCAAAATGTGTGTTTTACCTTCTCAATTTAAGAACAAATGCACTTATTTTAAGAAAAAAATGACTTATCTAGATTTAGATTTTTTTCCAGTGCAGTGGCTGGATACAAATCACCATCACTTGCAAAAGGATGACTAGACAGAAATATTATGAATGCAGTATTTCACTCCTTTTACAGGTTATAAAGAGGAATCTGGATTGGCAAAAATTTGCAAGTTGAAGCTTAAAGACAATAAGCAAGAACTTTATTCTCACATATATCTTGTCAAATGTCAGCAGCACACCTCGTTCAGTCATTCCAGACCTGTTTTATACTCAGTGACGCTAAAAGTGAATCTACCAAACAAATGAAAACTCTGCACTGCTGAAAAACTGAGCATGTAACCAGATTCTTTGTACTTTAAACATGGAAAAGAAACAAAGCCAAACAGAAAAAACCCCTCTTAAGGAGCAGAACAAATTGAAGCACTTTGCAAAAAAGGATGGTAGATTGCGTCTTGTGAAATATTGCTGTTCATCATCTTGAAATGGTTGCTTTGCTACTGCTTCTAAAGTACCATTCTCTCCGTTAGAAAAATGGATTTATAAAAATGTTTGGTTTTATTAGCTGCGGTATTATCTGTGCTGCTGTTTATTTGTTTTGTTTTTTAGCTTATCATATCGTTTCTTTGCCCACATGCATTTTTGCAGGTTTAATGGCATCATAGCCGAATTTCTAGGAGTGCAAAAAGAGAATATCTATTGTAGCACATTTCATACCAACTAGCATCAAATTGAATTTGTTTTAACACATTCATTTCTACCTCAAATTATTTGAACTATTATTTTAATCTACTTGTTTAAATAATAAAAATCAGCAGAAGGTTGTTTCCCGTTAATTCCAGTTTGTTTAGGTGTCATAAACTGTCTTGATTAATAAACAACCGACCCGATGAGATCAGAACCAGAGCCATTGGAGAAATGTTGTAACATATAATGATTACAAATTAACTTTTTGTATGAAGTTTTACAATTTTATTCCAATGGTTTATGAAAATGCTCAACAGGTAAAAAAAAAAAAAAAAAAAAAAGCTCTACTCAACCCTAATAGAAACATTGAAATATTGGTGGGATGGAGTACAGCCAGGACCAGTGGAGCCAGACAAAAAGGGACAAACAGTGAGTACAATGATCAATTAGAGATCAGTAATTAAGACACTGGGAGTCGGGGCATCTCTGCTTAGAGTGCTGCCTCCACGACCCAGACCCAGACAAAGCTGAAGAAAATGGATGGATGGAAAGAGTAAGTTCTTTAGACCCATAATAATCCCTGGATGCTACTCGACGTGATCACTGCTGGGGCGGGTGGAATGCTGAGGACATGCTTCCCCAATGTGGAACAATAAAGGCATATTTCCTTTCACCCTTTACTTATACAGGGTTCCTACAGCATAAGGCAAGCTAAATTCAAGACTTTTTAAGACTTTTTAATCCCACTTGAAATTTAAGACCAAATTCACAAGAAACACAAGAAAAACCTGCTTGCGACAACTTAACCCAAAGGTTTATTTTAACATAAACCACTGCACTAATGTTTCAAATTTTGAAAAGCTTCCCATACATACGGTGGCCCTGAAGTGCAAACTGCAACTACAAATCTAAAAGCGCAACTAGATTAAGGAAATCGCGACTACATAAAGCAAAGCGCAACTACATTAAGAAAAACACAATTACATTAACCTACCGGAAAAGTTAGGTACCAGTGGGAAACATGAGACATCGCTGATTGGACGACGGCGCCATTTGACCCTTGAACTGGAAGTTGCGTCGTCTGAACAGTCCAGCTTCTTTTAAGTGTGTCTTCAGTGTACGCAAACTAACTGAAATTTCGTGATTAGTCTTGAGCATATCCAGTATCACCTCGTACGTACGTTCTGATTCAAAATATTCCTGGATAACGGCGGCTATGTTTGGGGCGCCGACAATATCCATGTTTTTAAAAGCCGCAGCAGGCAGAATGACTTCCGGTTCAAGGGTCAAACGGCGCCGTCGTCCAATCAGCGATGTCTCATGTTTCCCACTGGTACCTACCTTTTCCGGTAGGTTAATGTAATTGTGTTTTCCTTAATGTAGTTGCGCTTTTAGATTTGTAGTTCCAGTTTGCACTTCAGGGCCACCGTACATACAGGAAGAAAGCTAAAAACACACAAATGACAGATATATTTTAACAATTATTTAACTGAATTCACAAACTTTGTTTTAGCAGGGAACAAAACAAATCAGTTTTAAAGCCACAACATAACCAGTGCTAAGTCTTTTTTGCAGCTATTTTTCTTTGTATGGTTTTCTTAGTATGTTTGATTTGGTGATAAGTGGAGGCGTTGCAGAGACAAGGGTGGAACTAAACAGAGAAATACCGGCTGTTTCTCCGTAACTCCATTTTGATGCTTTGTGTTTCGCGTTTCGCATGTGCGACTCCACTGCCTTAATTCCCATCGTTCTGAGCTTGAATGACTTCTTGCATAAAGTCCACTGAGCCTCATGTATGTTCCCTGGTTTTAGCCATGGAAAAAACTCTTGGCTGGATAAACAATTTTAGTTACATTAACACTTGCTCATATTTTCCAGACAAAAAGTTAATGGCGCATCTCCCAAATGTCCCGGCCGCAACAACGCTTTATTGGTTCCGCTATCGGGACGGAACCAATAATGGCGAGACATTTTTTGTTTTTTTTAATTAAAAAAATGTTTTCAATTTTAACGTTTTATTTAGATTACAAAAATAAATCGTAATAAAAATAATCATATTTGTGATGTTTTAAAAAATAAGACCTACGAAAGACTAATTTAAGCCATTTTAATACCAATTAAGGCCTTAGTTTTATTTTGAAGAATTCAATGCCTTTTAAGACTTTTTAAGGACCCGCGGGAACCCTGTTATAGTAAGTGACATGAGTAATTAATAATTTGTTAATTGGTATGGGAAGTGGAGGGAGAAGAAGGTGGGGATAAATAGAACATAATCTGTTGAAAGGATGAAATTAGCAACGCTTATAAGAGTATGTTTTATTAGTATAAAAGTATGTTTGTTTTCCTATTAAGTTGAGCTGAGTTTAAAGAGAAGATGCCATCATTGGTTATTTTCGTTTTTTGTAATACCTAGTATCTTCTAAAGCAGTGATGTCAATCTGGGCAAAAATTGTCACACTGAATGTACTAATATAAGCATTTAAAATATATATAAATATTCAATCTTTTTTACATTCACAACAATGAAAATGTTATATTTTAGTCAAACAAATAATTCATTGTCTTTTAGTGTAAAAAGAGGGTTTTACACCTTTGCTTTAGAGGAAAAAAGACCAAAAAGATGTTTTGTCTTGATTTTTTTTTTTTTTTTTGCAATTTTCCCGCCGTAACCAACAAGCACAGGATATAAACACCTCATTTTTTTATTTTGTGGTGGTTCCAGAGCTGCATAAAATTATTAAAAGAGCTACAACTGTCCCCTTGGCCACATAAAACCCTGATTTAAACCTACATATCCTTTAGTTTTTTTTTCTTTTGTTGGTTTAGAAAAATCTTGTTTAATTCATGTAACATTGTCTGTATAGTTCTGTTTGTTCTACTAGTGTTTATTATCATTTTGTTATATTTGCTTTATTACAAAGATTTTTATGGTTTGATTTCAGATGTAAATGCTCCATTAGCTTTATCAGAAGACAAATGACATATAATATGTCGTTCCAAAGTCATCAAAAGCTGGAGAGCGTATTTTCAAAGTTTGTGTAATTGAGTCAACTCCCCAGTTCACAACCATAACCTCATCCTCCAACCAGGGGGTCTAAAGTAAGCTGTGGTCAGTATAAACCACAAATGCCAAGGTCCATGTCTTTAAACAAGCTAAACAACATAATTGACTCATGGCTGCTGGCCGATGAAGCAGGCTTCTTGCCAGAGATGTAAATTTTATCTTTCGGTACAACGCTTTGCAGCTGATCATGCATATTTATAAACACATCTCAAAAGCACTTCAGCTCTGTGATCCAAAATAATATATATTGGCAGAGGTTAGCTTGGCAGTGACAAATTAGGAGCTTTTAGAGATAAAGATGTAATAATTTGGAGCAATACTGATGTGCTGAGATTAAACAATCTGCACTGACAAAGTAAACAGAAGATTATCAATATCACTGCTTGTTGCTGAATTTCAAATACTGAATGAAAAATCTCAGTTCGTGAATTTAATATCCTCAGAAAAGAAAAATCAGAACTAAAAGGCTTAAACCCTAAATTTATTTTAGCTTGAGTTACATGATTTTCTGGTCAAAACTATTATTTATTGTCCAACTGCGTAGATTATCTTTGGCAGATGATGGTGGACAGTTATCTTTGCATATGACTGTCAGACAGATTCTTATTTTGGCTTCCAACTCAGAATGTCTAAACTACATTTTAGAGAACTATTTATACCACTAATGTCTGAAGCACAACTTAATGTAGAAAGCAGGGAAAAAAATGATGCTGTTACATGATTGCAAGTCGGGACGTGACTGTAATTTGCTGCAAGCTGCTGTGAGGGAAAACATGAGGGCTAGCAACAGGAGGCAAACTGCTTATAAAGGATCTATCTTTGCAGATCCATTTGGAGAACAAGGAGAGAAACACATTAATCTGAATTTTGGAACTCTGCAAAAAATATGCCAGTAATTACAACATAGTCCACCTGTTTTTTTAGAGTAAATGTGTAGAAAAGCACAATTTTCACGTCTTACGCTACAAAGTTAGAAAAAAAAAACATCCAATAGAAGTGAATTCATAATGTAGCTGGTTTAAAAAATGTGTTTGGAATGTAAAAGAGGATGCTGCCATTTCTCACCATTTTTAAAAGAAACCTAGAAAACACACAGACTCATCCATCTCTGTTGGACTTAAATTAAATTGGGTACAAACTCCAGGTAATGATCTGGGGAGATTTCAGCATTTTCATTATAACTCATCTCTGTGTATTATCAAAATATGAAATCCCACATGTGCGTGTTACTGCTACTGAGATTTTATCATTGTTATTCTTTTCACCAACATTATCAGGACCTTCTGAGGAAAGATGGCCTAGCAAAGACCTAACACTTTATTTTACTCCTTTACTCCTTCAAGAATTTAATCTGGTATCAAATCAAACCGAACATGTCTACTTAGATCAGATGAACTACGAAGGAACTTTTGCAACGTTAAATTTTCATAGCAGGTGGGGCATGAATCAAAGTGTAGATGGAAAAACACTTTAGGCCGACTGTAAAAGCAGAATAGAAGACCGGTCAGGCAGTGGGATTGTTCTGTCAAAAGGAAAATGGTCCAGAGATGAACACAGAAATAAATAACTAGACCCTAAACCTAACCTTCTAGCACGGTAACCATAGTCTCCACAATGTATTACTTAATCAGCTTTGGGACCAATAAAGTATCTTTTAATTGAATGGAGCGTGCAGACTTTTCCGTGCTTTTTCTGTGGCAGCTCCTAAGCCGTGGAATGATCTGCCTCTGAGCAGAAGACAGGCCTCTTCTCTTGCTGTTTTTAAGTCCCTTCTTAAGACTGATCTATTTTCCTTGGCTTTTGGCACACTTTGAGAGGTTTTACTTTGTTTTCTTTGTATACTAATATGTATTTTACACTCGTTTTTCTTCTATTTTATAATTTTATTGTATTTTATGATTGTGTACAGCACTCTGGTCCTGTCCGGTGCATAAAGTGCTTCATAAATAAAGTTGGTATGATATGGTATGAATGGAGCTTAATTAACCAAGAACGAAAAAAGAGAGAAAAATATAAAAGTTAACTCTGTAAATTGGGTATTTTTGCATAGAAAAGTAGACACCCAACACAAGCACATCATTTTTTGGGGGTCTTGTTAACCTATGCCAGGGTAATGGCTCACAAAGTACCAGATGTGCATACAGATGGTAAATCAAGAGCTTGTGGTTAAACAGGTCTGTGTAATTGAGACTCTATGTTATTAGTGTTATTAGCTCCTCATAAACTGCTTAGCTCTTCACTGATAATGAGCTGATTACACCTGCATTTGTGCCAGCAAAGTTGGAGTTTTATCTGATATGCCAAAGAGCCCTTGGGAGGATATTACAAGCAGTGAAAATTCGACTGGAACGATAAATATGGGCTTTAGACTACTGTGAAGATAAAACTAAGCTAAAAGGACTATTCACTTCCCTGTGGAAAAACAAGACACCTCTTTTTGTTTAAACTCAAAACAAGAACAACTTTGTGCAGTTAAAATTAGCTTTTTGCTGTAAATGTGTGAATACCGCTTACTGCCAAGTCGCTGTAAATGTGATCTCCAAAGTAAAGCACTCTGGATCCCCTCCAGCCAGTGAGTCTAAGGAACTCATAGAGGTTTCCCTGCAGAACAAAAAATTTAAAAATACATTAAGTCAGACAATAAAACTGTTGCATTAATAAATGTATTCACAACAGAAGATACACACAAAAACTTCCATGTTTTTTTTTAAAGTCAAATGCTGGTTTAAAGACTTTAAAAATGAAGCAGTTTTAACCATGCATTGGGTCAAAAATTTGAATAAAGTTAAAAACAACCTGATCAAACTTCCCTTAATATATTTTAGTATGTGGAATAAGTAATGCAAAGATGATGATGCTGTATAATAGTAATAGTGGGTTTTGTTGATAAGTTCAGTTCACATTAGAGAACAATACTGATAACTATATCATACACAATTAACTTTTTTTTTTTTTAGTTTTTTGTTATAACTGTTATACTGCTATCCTTAAATCAAAACCAAGCAAAACATTTAATTTTTTTGTTTTTATTCATGCTTGTCGGAAAAATCTTAATGAGTTCTCTCTCTGAGCAACAGCACCTCTGTCTTAGAAAACGAGCAGCCATGACCGGCTACCAGTGGCGGCCGGCCCATAGGGGGCGCTGGGGCACCGCCCTCCCTGATAAGAAGAGAGAAACTTAAAATATATTTTTAGAAATTAACTCATAAATGTCAGTTTTACTCTCTAGAGTGTGTACCTATAAGCAAAACAAATTATATAAACTACATTTCCCTATCTACTGTCATTAACTTGTGGATTTCCACAGACAGACTCCTACCGTCTCTGTTCTGGGGGCGCTGATCAGACTGCCCCACATTTGCAGAGAATCTGTCAATCATGTACTATTGCTAGGTGAATTTAATGGCCAATCAGCGTCTCAGACCTTTATGGTCTTGGGGCGCTGAAAATACTGCGCTTTAACAGGCTTCTGAACCCAAGCGCAGGTGCAGACAATTAAAGGGACGATGGCGAACGTAACGAGCGAGATGCAGCTTCCACCAAATTCGGTGAGATCCTTATTTATCTACCCGTTTGCCAGAAGAACATCCCTGTTGTAGGATATGAACATTTCATGTCATGGTTATTGTGACTGTGACGAATCCACCTCGTCGCTTAAAACAACCTCTCTAACTTTGCGCGCCACACACACATTCCTGTTATACTGTGTTTGTGAGGACCAATCCGCTCGCGCTGAGCCCAGTAGCTCCATGAACTTAAAACACACAAGCTGTTCCTGGTTACCTGCTGGCATATTGAGGGGGCACGCTTAATATTTCAGTGGGGTTAGCCGTATGTGTTTGTGTGTGTGTGTGTGTGTGTGTGTGTGGGTATGTGGGGGGTGTGGGTGTGTACGTGTTTATGCTATGGGGACTTGTCATCTTCAGTCTGGCTGCGTCTTTGCTGGGTTCAAACCCAGTTTGGTGTAATTGAATAAGTCAATGAATCTGTGTAAAATAATTAAGTTGTAAAAATTATTTGTTTTTGTACATCAATTGTTTGTGGAGGTAATATATGGACAAAACTGATTAATGAGAAGAAATCAGAAATAAGAGAGCCTGAGGGGAGGGGCTTAAACTATTTAATGAGGGCTGTGGGAAGAAAAGCGGCAATTTTTGTTTTCTGTTTCTTTGTTACATTGCTGGTAACTGGAGGGAGGCTGAGGCCCAGAGTATCTTGTATATGTTTAGTTTCTTTTGCACCCTGTTTTGAGTTTTTGAGCACAATAAATCACCAACACCGGTAACCCGACTGAGCCTGGATTCTTGGAGGCCAAAGAACCCCGTCACAGTGACCCAAATCATCACTGTTACTGTTATTATATAGTAAATTAAATCATTACTGTTAAATTGTATGTATTGTCCAATTGTTTATTTGAATTCTTATTCCGGATTAGTTGGAGACATACACTAGGCTATATCAGCCCCACCAAAAATATTTTTCACCAGCCGCCACTGCCGGCTACGTAGAGCTGTTATTGCCCGACCTCTCCAGGAAGCTCCTACTTTGACTGTGCCACTCCTACGGATACTTTCTCTGATTATTGATCGGTGCTTGAGGCAGAGAGTGATCAATTCAACTCAAAGTTGAGCAGCAGTGGCTTGTTTAGTAGTTGATCTGCACAGTGACAGCATCTGATATTCTTCTTTACCAAAAAGAAAAACTATGTTTGAGGGTGTTATCGAGATCTCGCAATACTATTGCGGGATCTCGCAAAAGTATAGCGGGATCTCGCAAAAGTTTATTTTTTTCCTCCAAGTCCCTTTAGGGGCTCTGTAGTTAAAGGTCTTGGAGTAAGGTGTAAAATGCAGAAGTGGTTAGATTTTATTTTTGGAAGCATCCAACAAACTGAGCATCACATTGATGATTACTTAATGAACATTAAGGTGCCATAGTGGACTGTCCAGGACTTTTATTTCTTAAAACTAGTGTGATTCCTTGCATAAAACCACCCAATGAGACACCAGAGCTGTAAGTAAATAAAGCTGCTTGCCAAACTGTAACAGTAATATCAAGTTAGCCATTTATGAATCTATAATAGATATAATATATAATAATATATATATTATATTATATCTATATATAATAGATATAATATAATATAAAATATAACAATGTGCACTTGTGTGTATTTGTATTCAAAGCATAATGAGTTGTGGGTGTTGTTTAATCTTTTTGTTTGCTCAACAAGAAAAAATGTATATTTTATTCGAAAAATCGCTGTTTCTTTAAAGAGGGATCGTTAAATCATAGTAGATTCAAAACTTTAAAAAAAAGGGTTTTATGTGTTTGGTCTATAAAAAACGCCTTTAAAAAGTCTGTAAATTATCTGTATTTGTCTTCAATGCTTTTTTTTTGTCCGCTTCTAACCAACCAGAATGGGATACAAAAAACTACTTTTTAATTATTCTTTCTTATAAAGAGTGCTTTCCTTTTTTTTTTTTTTTTTTTTTACCAAAACCAACCAATGATGGCATTCCCAGAGCTGCAGAAAATCATTACTAGAGACATTTAAAAGTTTTAGGATCTATATCCGTTTTTGGAGCGTTGTGAGCATTTTATTGTTGATTGATTAAAAAAAAATCGCATTGCATGAGGCCCATTGGGTCTGTATAATTCTGTCTTTTGAATGTTTATTATCAAATTCTTGTCATGTTATATTTGCTTCGTTAGATCCTTCTGGTAAAACGTTTTTAACTGCTTTAGGCCTCTGATCCTAAAAACAGGCCTTTGTAATGAAATGATTAACAGCTCTTTATCTTTTTAGGTGTTGTTTACTGCTCTGCTACTGCTTCCACGCTTATCTAGGTTTCACTACACGTACCGGTAAAATTACTGCCCAAACCAATTAGGGCCGGTTTCGATGTCCCCATAAAACTTTTTTATTTACCTTGGTGATATCTGACATTTTAGATGCAAGCAAATATATATTACCATATTTATATTAAACAGATTTCCGATATCAATATTGTATTGGGACATCACTCGTTTTGGCCAAACAGTAGATACAGATAACACCTGAGGAAACCTCTCGTCTCTATGCAACAGTTGGAGCCACCTGCACAAAAACATGTCATTTTCTGAGACTTCAGTTCCTTCAACTCACTCGAGTGTTACATGGAAACCCAGTGGTGGTATTTCATAATATTTTCCTGTTAAAAGCCTAATAAATAGTTGGCCCTTATTTAGTAGTAGTGTAATATTTATAAAGAGTACTAGAAATGAAAGCCTTCCTCTAACGTAAATGATTGAAGGAGCACCACAGGGTGTAGGCACTTCATTACAATGTTCTCTAAGGCTTCAAAGTTTTCCAGGCAAAGGACCCTCAAACTGATGGCGAGATGGAGCGGGGACCCCTAATTGTATATATTGTATGAAATTGTGTTACTGTAATTTTTGGACTATTAGCTACACCTGAATATAAGCCGCAGAAGCTAAATTGCATGATTTGTATACAAGCCACACCGGACTATAAGCCGCAGGTTTTTTAATGTTTAATGTCCGTCTGTCTCGCTGCCGTTCTGTCTCGTACCACTCGCGGTAGAAGTCTGCCCGTGCGCGGCTACCGTACTTGTGTGTTGAAGCAAATGTGACGTCAACAAGGTGGATGGTAAAATCCATAGATTTAGGTATTACCCTAGTGGCCGTTAGCTGTAAAAGTATGGAAGTACATCTGTTTTGCTGGGATTGGCATTTTCAATACTTATTTTTCAGTTTAATTTTTGAGTGTTAAAAAAATCAGCATATAAAAAAATTCAACCTTTCAAAATTAAAACTCAATATTTTCAGCCTCCTGAGATTCAACTGGCTCTATTTCACTGTCTTAAATTCGNAAAGTATTTGTGAATCTGATTCCTTGTTGATGGGATCGATACTCACACTGCAAAAAATGTTAATCTAAATAAGTCATTTTTTCCTAAAATAAGTGCATTTTCTCTTGAACTGAGGTGGTAATTGAGACACTTTGCCAACAGAACAAGACAATTAACATTAATAACAATAATAAAAAAAATTGCATTGTCTTATTTCAAGTGCATTTTATCTAATTATCTTATTTTAAGAGTACAAATACTCATTCCATTGGCAAATAATCTTATTTACCTGCTCAAATTAAGGGTAAATACACCTAATTTAAGACATTATTACTTGTTTCTGGATCGTTTTTTGCAGTGCATTGACTGACAAGGGTCAGACAGTGAGCAGGTTTTCCACATAAGTTTATTATTTCACAGCAGCTTTTTTTTTTGCCATTTAAGTGTTTCAACATTTGTTAATGCAATACGTTAAGTTTTGATTTATTTAACAGCAATTAGCCTCCCCTGTTTCTGAGAGCAGCCAAAATTAGTATATAGTGTAGTGGATGGATGTGTCAAACTGTTTTAATGCACATATTTAATCTACATTTTTATCAAAAATTTTATAAATTTTTTATCTGAGATTGATATTTTTTAACCCATCCAAAGGAAAACCATGCTAGGTTTACCCTACATGCTTTGATTCTGGTTGCTCCCAACATTTATTTAAATCTTTGATTAAATGGGATGGGATTTAGACTTCTTCTTAACATGCTTTATGCAAAATTAGACTAACAATAAAATATGAGTTATTATTAATAATGAGTTATTATTTTTAATCTACTCTTCAGTAGCCTTAAAGGTACATATTACATTCTTAAACCCATCTATGGATTTTAGAAGCAAATATATATCCGGTGTTAAATGAACCCAAGCATGGATATTTCCATTTTGAGAAAAAAAATAGAGAAAATAAATTGATATTGGATTTTACTCAGCAGTTTTGGGGTGTATGAAATATAATTTTCCTGACATAGTACCTGCTTGTAAATCTGTCCTTTCTCCAGCCTGTGAATTCTGTCCCACAGTAACACGCCTTTATCTGTCACCCGCCTGAAAGGTCTGCAGCAAAACAGAAAGCATACATTGTTAAAGGTTTGATTTCAAGTAAATGCAAGCTGTACGATTATTTCCATGCAGTTGCAGTAAATGTTGTATACAAAAAATACTTACTTTCTTCTGTCGTTGAAAAAACTAGGTTTATCAGCCTGGACAATAACAACGTCAAACAAATCTCTCCAATCTTTTCCTACAATGTAGGTCATTCCACGGTCCCTGAGTAAAACAAAGACATTATTCTTGTTTAAAGGGAATTGATACCTCAAGATGTGATTTGGAGTACATCGTCACAGAGCTTTTAATGTTGCTACGCTGACATTTGCTACAAAATGAATAAAAAATCTAAATATAACACGGTGTGTGTCAACCATTGAAAATAGCTACAATGCTACGATATATTGGACTCTCATATTAGACACTTTCTTTTCATTGCTTTCTGCTAAAACTTACCTTTCACTGGCTCTTTTATGTCATTTTACCTTTAAGCACCATAAATATTAAAAGTTAGGAGACAGAAATGTATTTTGATGCATCTCTTTGAAAATGATGGACTGAAGTGGGGATGCACGATATAATCGGCCCCCTATCGGTATCGGCCTTAAAACTGAATATCGGACATCGGCCACCCCACCGACATTTAACCAGATATTTGATCAGCTTCTGAGTTTCTAAAGTCTATTAAAAAAAAAAAATACTACTTCTTCTCAAAAACTTCTTTTTTACAGACTTAAAAACTTCTAAAGACGAGGTAAAAATATTGATACATTAAAATATCACAATATCTTCATATGCTGATATATTGCCATTTAAAAACACCATATCAATCTCTTTTACTAATATTGCTATATGTCATCATTATGCTACTAAATCCTCCGAAAATTCACGAAATTTTGCCATATTTTTATATGTTGATATATTGACGCGGTATCGATCTATTTTACTAACAAAATCTCACAAGAATTT